CCCACCACCCTCGGTATATGGGGCCAGCGCCCTACTCACTGAGCCACAGGCGCCACCCAGTACTATGATTCTTATCACTGAGCTTCTTAGGAACATACAGATCAGCTAAGGATTCAATTGCTTGACAATACTGAAATGTTGATATGAGTCTCTTATAAGAAGTATCACAGTTTTTAGGATTTGAAAGATGCCTTCATAAGCTCCTAGAAATCAGCAAATGCTTTGTTGGCTAACAGGCAGTGTGTAAGTTCTGTTACTTGATTCCAGCTGCTTCTGGAACACCGGGCTCTGGCATCTCTCCTTTAGTCAAATGCAGGACTCCACAGAAACAGGCTCAAGACTCTGATCCTCTAAGCCAGTGGTTTTCAACCTTCCTAATACCAAGATGTATTTTTGCTGTTACAAAGAGGTCGCGACACACAGGTTGAGAACTGCTGCTCTAAGCTCCTGCTCAGGACACTGGTTTCTGGACATCACAGTAACTGCTGGCTAAACCAGTGGATGAGCCTTCTCCTCTGAAAGCCACTAGACCCTTACTAGGCGTCAGACTAACACCTGCTTCCATATGTAACCTCTTCCTTTAAGGCCTTCAAAGCCCTCAGGCACTTCTAAGTCAAGACTGGACTCCTGTGTCTGGCTTTTTCAGCCTCCCCAACTTGGCACTACCTTGGCCTTTCAACTATATTCCCACGCCCCCCCCCCCCAGTGTCCTCCAGTCAAGCCTGCCACTGCTCTTGAAATTTTGCTGCCTGTTTGCCAGCACAAAGGACAAGGCTTCAGACCATAATGCAAATTTTAGCCTGTTGTGTGATGTTGGGTGGTTTGGTTTTCACATCAGTAAAATGGGGATTTAAAAAAAATCCACCTTGGCTGGGTGCAGTGGCTCACACCTGTAATCCCAGCACTCTGGGAGGCCAAGGTGGGTGGATCACTTGGGCTGAGGAGCTCTAGACCAGCTAGAGCAAGAGTGAGACCCCATCTCTACTAAAAATAGAGAAAGGGGCAAGAGGATCTCTTGAGTCCAACAGTTTGAGGTTGGTATGAGCTATGATGCCATGACACTCTACCCAGAGAACAGCCTGAGACTCTGTCTCAAAAAATAAATCAATTAAATTAAATTAAAAATAAATAAGATAAGATAAAAAATAAATCTACCTTTTTAGCCAGGCATGGTGGCACAAACCTGTGGTTCCTCCGGTGCTGAGGTGGGAGGATCACTGAAGCCCAAGTGTTTGAGGTTGCAGTGAGTCATGGTAGTTGATGCACAGCACTCTAGTCTGAGCAAGACCCTGTCTCAAACAAACAAACAAACAAAAAGGAACAGAAAAGAAACACTCTGTCTTAGTTTTCTGAGGAAGTCGGGGTCACAGGAACAGTGGAGCTGCAGTGTGCCTGCTCCTGACTTGTGACTGTTCGCTCTCACTGAGAAGCAAGTAGGTCAGGAAACCAGAAAGACACCCAAGGCACCAGGGGGGGCAATGTGCCAAATTATTAGAAGTATCCTAACCAGCCGCAATGTAAAATCCCCCCAAAAGGTGTGTGCTGAATTGATCAGAGGTACAAAGGAAACAGTCTCCAAGTGAAAGGACCAGGGCAGATGCCCAGCAAGACTGAGAATCACTACATGAAAAACGCCTTGCAGTGAGGTTTCTCTGACATGGGATGGTTTCCAGGTGAGACTCCACAAGTGGGTCCTAGACTTGCACAGCCCTCCTGGGATCCTTAAGCAGGTTACTTCCATCAGCCAGGATCAAGGTCACAGTCACCATTGCAGATGCTTACGTCAGCTATTTTAATAAATCGATTGCCAGTTGTTTAAAAACAAATAAACAGAAATGAATAAATAAATCCTCTACCCTGTAGAGTTGCCAAATATGTCAGGCTTTGTCAGTGCATAACAGGGTCTCCTTACATGGGAACTACTGCTGTGCATGTGATTCTTGCCATTCTCCAAGCATGAAGATACTCTATGGCAGGGTTTTTCAACTTTTTTCATCTCACAGCACACTTGACCCTATAGTTAAACTGCCATAGCACACTTAAGTTATGTTAATAATAATAAAAAGAGTCAAAAAATACGCTTACTGTGCTTTGAACAGAGCAAACAATTGATGAGTCACTCTCTGGCTGTTATTGTACGTTAATAAATATTGCTCCTCAACCGGGCAGCAAGCAACTTGAGAGCATGTGTTATATTCCAGTCTAGAAGGCCTCTGCAGGGTAGTACAGCATAGTGCTTCAAGTCTTTGGCAAACAGGATTCATGGCCCAGCTTCTTCTGGGCAAGTTGCTGACCTCTCTGAGCTCAGCTTCCCCATCTGTGAAATAGGACAGCATTAACAACAGTGGCCACATACAGCGGCTGTGGTGATGATATAGAGTAAGTAGAGCACCAGGCACATAGTATCACAGTAATTATTCTCTGTGAATAAACGGGACCCGAAGACCAGAAAGCAGGTGGTTGCTGAAATTAAGTTGACTGGCCCAAGTTAACCCTCACCTTCTACCACAAAAATTCCATTTTGAGACACACTGCAAGCTTTGCTAAGTTTACTTGACTGGATTCCTGTTTGGAGCAACATAGCAAGATAAAATGACTATAGCCAAAGTTGTAGAAAATGATCTGAGACTAAGCTGAACACCCTAAACTTTTTTTTCCTCCCTCAGTAGAGTGAGTGCTGTGGCATCGCAGCTCACAGCCACCTCAATTCTTTTGGGCTTAAGTGATTGATCCTCCTGCCTCAGTAGCTGGGACTACAGGCGCCTGCCACAACACCCGGCTATATTTTTGTTGCAGTTGTCATTAATGTTTAGCTGGCCGGGGCCCGGTTCGAACCTGCCACCCTCGGTGCTTGTAGTTGGCGCTGTAACCACGGTGCTACCGGCGCCGCCCTGAAAACCTGAAAACTCTTCATCAGGAGCGTATCCCAACGCAATGCCTAAATGTGAACTCCTCACACTGACTCATAGCCCCGAGAGACAGATCATCATTGCTCCGTCTAATTAACAGAGGACGGAGCTAAACATTTTAAAGGCCGCCTGTCCCTTCAGATACTGAGTATTTTCTGTGTTTCAGGTATTTTTGGTCTGTAACACCACCTGGGAACGGGTGTTACTATCACCAATTAACAGCAGAAAAAACGGAGGGGCAGAGAAGTCCCCAAGGTCACACAGCTGCCGAGTAGGCAGGGCCGGTTCAAACCCACATCTCCCCAGTCCCAGGCTCTCGCGCGTCCTGCCTCCCCCAGTCCGAGGTCCCCAGGAGAGGTGGCCGTGGGCATTCAGCCCGGGGGCTCCTCAGATCCCTTATGAATGCGCGCAGAGACAGATTTCTAGAAACGTAAACCTCTTTCCTAGCTAGAGAAAGCAGATCTAAGTTAGGAGAGGGGGAAGCTGGCGTTGCCGCAGACCCCGCCCCCTCCTGTGAAAAGTGATCCCAGATGTCCCCCCTCCTCCCCCGACCCGCCCACCGCAGGCCTGCCCCTCGCCAACGCCGAGGCTGGTTTTGCTCTACACTCAGGGACCGCTTGGGCGGGCTTTTTAGCAACTTTTCATAACCCAAGTGACTTCCAAGGGCAGAGAGCTTTGATCTCCTGGGCGACCCGGCGGCTTCAGACTGATCATGACCCAGCAGCTCTCCGCGGTGGCGGTGGCGGCGCTCTGCGTGTCCCTGGCGGGTGAGTGACACACCGAACGTCCTTTCGCATCTAAACGCATTCTGGTGCCCCCGACCAAGCGACAGCATGGCCCGTAGACGCGGCTTAAGTTACTGTGGGCATTTGGTGGACAGCGTCTCCTTCCTGCTGACTGCCACGTGAGGACACATCTTCCCTTTCGCCGAGGGCTGTCACAGTCAGGACTGGATTTCTGTGAGTTAGGCAGAGTAAGTGGTTAGTCCCAGAAGACAGCGACACTGTCCCTGCTTCCCAAATGGCTTCTGGACACCTTATCGGGGAGTCTGTAGAAATCGCTTAGATTTAAGCGACGGAGAACTGATGCAGGGCTTAGAAATGGGGACCCATGGCTTGTTATCTAGGAAAAGCGGTTATGTCTAACTTTTCCTGGTTTTCTTAAATGGGAATGCTATGTTTCTATTCCCTAAGCAGTGAATTGTCAAGATGCCTCATATGTGTTCTGACTTGATGTCCATTTCAGAACAGTGTAAGCTAGGGTCCCAAGGATTGAAAAAAAATCCCATTGTTTTTCAGATCGGAGGTGCCTTCTGGGAAGCTGAGTTCTAACGATGGTTCTTTCATTTTCCAAGCTCCTTGCTTTCACCAGAGACATTTTCTCCCTCAGACATTGAGTCCTCTTGGGTGCTGTTGTTCTGTTTCTGCTATCAAGTTTGCCAGTTAGTTTAAAATTCCTTCTACAGCCCCTGAATTGAACATATGAGAGAACTATGTCCGACCGCACAGTCCTGCTAACATGCTCAGATGGGGGGCACAGCAGCCCTTGGTTGTCCCATGAACATTAAAACTGTTATGAAAGCTGTGTGGAGGGTCGTGCCAGGCTGCCAAAAACCAGGCTGTTTATCTTTGTGTTGTGTCTTCAGAATTATAGTTTCAAGTTTGGGGGGGATAGAAGAGGTAGTTGTTATTGTATTTCTTGGGCAAACTAATAAAAAAAGGAAAAGGCCTCAGCCTGTGAGCACCCATCGAATGGCCCACAGAGGCGCACAGGTCCAGAGCACAAGGAGTGAAGCCAAATGCGGGGCAGGTGGAGGGGACGTGCCCACATCACCCTCTCCTGTCGGAGCCGCACATGCTCAGAGGTAAACCAAGTAAATGAAGTGTGACTTGTGAGAGGTTTTTTCCAGAGGTGAACTGCTCCCCCAGGGCAGATCAGTGGGACATGGCCTATAAAGGGTCATACATGAGTGGACTCAACCCCTGCCCAACCTCCCCGGCAGGGAGGCCTTGTTCCCAGCACCCAGCTTTCAGGCACTTCACTGAAAAATGGGAGAAATGACCTCCTCTGCAGAGTGGTGGGAAGACAAAGGGGACAGCGGCTGTGGAGCAGTACTTAGCTCATTGGGGGGCTCCCACTCCGCAGGTCCCTCTCCCCATTCCCCTTCACACCTCCCGACCGTGAGCCCCTTCTTCACTCAGCAGAGGGGACTCCTCAGCACATAGTACTAATAATGACAGCCCCCACCTGCGGGCACTTTCTGTGTGCCAGGCATTGTGCTGAGCGCTTTTGTCCTCAAACAGCATGTAAGTGCTGATTTTGTCTCCATTTTACTTCCGAGGAAACCGAGCCACAAGGAGGCTGAATACCTGCCCGTGGTCCCATAGATCGTAAGCAACAGAGTTGAACTTTGAACTAGAGTTTGTGTCCACAGCAGCGAGGCTGTGTGCTCTACATACATCTTCCTCTATTAACTTCCTTAGCGTCATAACCCTGAAAACTAAGTGGTATCAGTACCCCCGTTTTACAGATGAGGCGCTGAGGCAGAGGCAGGTTGAGGAATTGCTCAGGGTTTCCCAGTGAGTGAGTAGCAGCCCTGAGATTGGCAGCCAAGAAGTCTGACTTCGAGTTCATGCTCTGCCCTGCTGCACTACACAGCCCTGAGTGCATTGGCTCAAGAAATAACCCATTGAATAGGGAATAGGCAAAAAGCACCACCTATTTTGCTAGGAAGATACAGCCTCTGGGTGAACTAGCTGAGTAATCTCTATCCAGTCTCTTTGCTTTCTCGGTCTCAAATTCCTCCCCTGTAGAATGAGAGGCTTTAAGTTTGTGTCAGTTAAGTTCGAGTTCAGTACCTAAAAGACAAGTACAAAATAACAGTGGGCTCAACAGGATAGATGTTTGTTACTCTGTCATGTGAAAACAAGTTCAGAGGAACTGAGACCAATTCTAGTGTCCAGGCATATCACTGGGGATTCACTCTGCTTGGGGCTTCCCGCAAGGTCCCCTCATGGCTCCCAATGACTGCTGGGGCTCCAGCCATCACATACATGTGGCAGGCTGGTTAGAGGAGGAAAAATAGAGGGGCAATAGATAGGTCATGCAGCTGATTCAGCTCCCTTCAACCAGCCTTCCCCCAAGGCCCATGTGTGATCCTGGCATTCACACACAGATTTGCTTTCCTGGTCTCAAATTCGTGCCCCAGAAAATGAGAAGATTTTAGCTTGTGTCAGCTAAGTTTAGGTTCACCTGCACACAAGCGCACACTATTGCTTCAGCCGAAGTTCAGTCATACCCTCCAACTAGCTAGAAAGGAGGTTTAGACATAGAGTTCTTTATTCCAGGGAACAAGTGCTCAGCTTGAGCTTGGGGTTCTGTTACTAAGAAAGGAGAGGAGACTGGATTTTGGGGGAGTCAGCCAGCAGTCCCTGCCCGAGGGCCAGAGCCCCTTTTATTCTCGGGCTCCCTTTGACTCTCTGCTGTGCCTGTAGGTATTGGGGAAGGTGCTGGGGCCTAACTCTGGTTCCCTGCACCTGGGTGTGGCCGGCCACTCCCCTTGCTCCCGCCTGTCCTCTTCAGAGCTCTGCAGACAAAGTGCAGTGTCCGAGGCCTGCCAGGCCTGCTCTCTGCTGGCCTCCCCCGGACCCTCTTTATGTCCCCGTCATGCTGACCCCCTTGCTGTTCTCCAAACATATGAGGATTCTAGAGCCTCTGAGCCCTTGCATAAACTCTTCCTCCCATCTGAAATATCATCTACTCTCATACCTGCCTAGAGACTTTCTCCCCGTGCTGGATCCTCCAACCCACCCCACCCTCCTGATAGTACCTGGGGACTCCAAGGAGTGTGGTGTACTGTCACACTGTGGTCTACGTAAGTGTCCGCCTTGCAGCAGTTCTTTGAGAGCACCCCATGCCGGGCATGGAGGCTGCCCCAGAGGAGGCCTCTATATCTCTGCTGAATTCCATGTGGCCGGGAAACCAACTCACTGTCGGGGAAATACCTACACAAGATCCCACTGGTCACTGACTTTCCTAGGGACTGGGCAATGACTCACTTCTTAGCTCCCCCCACCTGTTGTAGGGGAACCAAAACCTTCTCATGCCTCTTCCTGGAGCTTTCTATTTAGAAGAGTCTGAGCAATGGATTAGGGCACTGTGGTGCTTATGTGCTGAGCCTCCTCAATTCTGAAGAGGAGATGCTTGGGGCAGAGAGAAGGGGGCGGGCATCAGCATGTGAATGCCAGTGCCAGGTTCTTTGACTAGAAGGAGGGTTGAGTCAGAGTCTAAGCTTTGCCTCCCTTCCCACTGCCCTTTCTGTGGGTCTCAGACAGACTAGTGACCTTTTACTAAACCTCTTTAGGGCCAAAGGTTTTCTTTAAAAACTGTGATGTGGTCAGATGTAATGGCTCAGGCCTGTAATCCCAGTGCTTTGGAAGGCTGAGTTGGGAGGATCACTTGAACCTAGAAGTTCAAGGCTGCACTGAGCTGTGATCTGTGCCACTACATTCCAGCCTGGACAACAGAGCCCATGAATTCTACAACTCTCAAGTGTCATGAATTTAACTTATCCAAATAAATATTTTAGGTACAAAAATAGAATCTTAAATAATGATCTCAGATAACTTAATGCTATATGTTGATACGTCTTTTTAAAAGATTATCCAAGGCAATTTGAACTGATGATTTGTCTTTCCTGTTTTGCAAACCAGGAAATTCACAGGTCTTAACTACTGGGCTTAAAGTTGGAATTTTCCCTCCTGTACAATAATCACCATTTCAGCACATGAACCTCCAAAAGCCTCACCAAGGACCACCATTATGAGGGTTTGGTGAATTAGGGTCCTGGGAAGTCCCCTGCTATCCTTCTGTCCTCTGCTTGTGTTTCTTCTCTCCCCGTTTTCCCAGTGCCACCCTCCACCTCCATCCTCCCCCAAATCCAAGGGCAGGCTTTGATTCAGACCCACAGGAGCTCCTATCTCAGCTCCAATATTGACCAGTTGTGTAATTATGGTCAAGTGGATTGAATGTTCATTTAAAAAATGGATAAAGGTGGTACCCACCAAAGTGTTTTGGGGAGGAGTTGGCAAAAGATGCTCCTTGATTTGGGGCCTGATATGTAATAAGCCTCCAGTAACTTGAAATTTTCATTATTATTAATATGAAAATAAGCAACCACTTAGAAATGCATTGAATGGAAGAGGGAGTTATGGATTATTTTGTTTGGATAAAATAAACTTTAGGACTTTGTAAATATCAACATAGAAATATTTCCTTGCCTCTTTCACACGTTTTCCCAAGTCTCAAAGCAGCACGAAACAGCTCCAGTTCTAGTGAGTGTCTGTGGGTAAATACAATGAAAACACAGAATGGAAGGGACACAGCCATCTTCCAGTCTGCCTGGTCCTAGACTCCCAAAGAACATCATCTGCATTTTGTCTACTTTTCCGGATTATGATGTGCCTGGAGGGAGGCAAGGCTAGACCTGCTCTGGGTAGAAAGAGAGCCAGATGCCTTCTGCCCCAGCAGGACTGCCCTGGAGGAGACCTGGTCAACAGTAGACACTGCTTGCTTAGTGGTGCACAAAAGCTTTCACTTAACAAACTCATTTGAGCCTTAAAGCTCTGCAATGCTACTATTCTATTTACCCCTTCTATTATTTATTCGTTCAACCTATATTTATGGAACACTATTTACAGACACTGGTAGTGGAAACAGTACACACAGTCCCCACCTTTGGGAGCTTCTAATCTAGGAGAGACGCACAATCAACAGATAAACTGATAAGGAAACATTTAATCAGGGCTGATATTCTGCTGGCATACACTAAGTTAAACACTTCAATACCATCCCAATATATAATTATGAGTTGCAATTAATATGGTGAAAGCAATGAATAAAATACTGTAAATGGAGAATCATGAGGGTTGGGAGGACAGGGAAGACTCCCTGAGGAGCTGACATTAAAGCCAAAATTAAGGACAGCCCACCTGAAATGGCAGAGTGACTATGGCTTAATTTTGTTTCTTGGTTGAAAAAGATTGGGTCCCCCAAAAGATTAAGTAAGAAAATGACGAAAAATTTTCTATATTCAGAAAAATGACAAGGAGCAAGATAAAAAATGGAAAATACTATATAGAGAGGAAATGAGTCTCTTGTTATTAGGGGAAATTAAACATAGACTGGGTGAACACATGGCAAAGATCAGTGGATACCATCCATGCATCCAACAGAGTTTGGACTATGGGGTGTTTTTCAAAGATGTTTTTCAAACCCAGGCTTATACACTTCTTATATAGTGAAAACTATAAAACTGTGAAGTCATTATTGCCATTATTCATGCTTCCTCAGCTCTATTTAACCAGGAACGTTATTTTATAACTGTCTGGATTCACACATGAGGGTGGAGCATAAAGAGACAATGCCACTTTGGTCTGTAGCTGAGTGTGATCACTTCGGTGTGTATTACTCCCACACCCATGTAAACACAGTGGCTGAGTGCCAAAGAATGTCTGGGTGTGGTCACAATCCTATGAAAGTCGCCGGTGCAACCGAAACATTGCAATTGTGGCCTCACAGTAGAATCTTAGGTGATCTTTGCTTCATTATTATATATCCTTATAAATGTCCTCCAAATCTAAAAATAGGTTTTTAATGAATAAACATTGCGATGGGAATGGGAGAGGGACCTCGTAAACAATTGGTGAGTGTTTTAACACGTGTGTTTCCTAATTTGCAGTAATTTTGCAGGATGGCTGTCAAACAGGAGCAAAAGCATTTTCAGAAACCAGAGTCCATCTTCAACCCACTGTAGCAAAACCTTCTCTCTTGCAACCAACTGGCCAGGTGACTCATGGAACTCCAATAGCCAGGTCTAAGGATGGTCACAACACCTCTCGAATGGCTGCCACAGTAAAAACTCCCACAACTAGCCAAGTAACTACAAAAAACGCCCCATCCACCAGCCCAAATGTCCACACCCTGATCACAACCCAGGCCATAGCCAACAACTCACACACGGCTGCTCCAGTTAGTGCAGACACCCTTGGCACCATCTCAGCCTCCCACTCACAGCCACCCAGCATCACCCCACCAGTCCGTACAACAGGAACCAACCCATCAGCTGTCAGCTGCACAACTGGGCAAACCACCACTTTATCTACAGCCTCACACAAAAGCACAACCAGTCAGAAGCCTATTCAATCCACCCATGCCCCAGAGACACCTACAAGGGCACACAATGCCACCCAGACAGCCTCGCCTGCCCCCACAGCTCCTGGACCCACCCTGGCCCCTAAGCCGTCAGCAGCCAGGATTGGAACTTATCAAGTTCTGAATGGAAGCAAGCTCTGTATAAAAGCAGAGATGGGGATACAACTAATTGTTCGAGACAAGCAGTCGGTAAGTTGGGGCCATAGGACTGTTACACTATTTTCAAAAGGTTTGAATGGAGTTTGCCTGGCTGGAAATAAGTATTCCCTTCATCCCATGTCTTTGGGTTAAATAGACAGCTAGGAGCTCATCTTTCTCCAAGGTGCTCCATTAAAAGGTGAATATGTTTTAGAATATGTATGAAAGTAGTCAACTCTCAGATCCTTCCCTGTGAAATGAGACACTTAGGTGAGACGGTCTCTATGATTCCAGCCAAAGTTGACACTAATCCAGAAAATCTTGACTGAGAAGAAGATGGGGGAAAGGGGTTATGATTATTTGATTTACTAAAGGAATCCCCATAATATGATACTTTCTATTTATTATGCACAATTTCAAATAAAACTTCCGTATCCAGGTTCTCAGTGAAAGCGGAAGTATGGAAGAGGACAAACCTTCTCTGTGGTGCCTTTCAAGGTGTTTGACTTAAATTCCACACAGTTTATGAGGAATAAACCTGCCAGGAAGTATTTATCAAGGAGGGCTCACGTGCAGAATTCCTTCTGTAAGAAAACTTTCGAACATCACTGTAGAAATGATGGGTGCCATTTGCCAGGGACTTTGTAGGCTCCAGTGAACACCCCCGTGGCCTGGCGTTTGAGGCTCACTCACTAGTGGGTGCCCCTAGTTCCTTAGCTAGAGTTTTCTACATCTCACTGAGCTGATCTGTCTTACTTGGTTTAGGTTTTATCACCTCAGAGATACTTCAACATCGAGCCCAACGCAACCCACACCTCCGGGAACTGTGGCTTCCAAAAATCCAACCTTCTCTTGAATTTTCAGGGCGGATTTGTGAATCTCACATTTACCAAGGTGAGGCCTGAGCTCCTTCATGCTAATTGGCTGCAGCACCCTGGGCCCCGGTGGTGCAATCCCTCCACTTCAGTTCCAAGATTGTCCCTGTTAAGAGGGGTGGGGATGGGGAGGAGGAAGTGTCGACATCTTACGTTTACCTTCTTCTCCCTTTGGCCTGTTCTGTGCTGCCCAAGAAGGGCTTCGGTACCTCTTAGGGGTGACTTGACCTCTGGGGAACCCGACCACTTGTGCCCTTTGCAAACACCTAAAGGAGGAAGTGGTAGAGATGAATAGACCTGTGGAAATTCCCCAGAGCACACCAGGGAAACAGGCTTATTCTAAAACCAAAAGCAAATGTCAGGATGGGTTCTTTCTAACCATGGCAGGCAAAATTCAGGGACTAACCAGGCCCTGGGTTTTCCAGCTCACATCCTAGAAGCAGTAGACAATGAAGTGGAGTGGGCAGAGCAGTCAGAGATTGAGGGCGCCCAGGCTCAGCTGCAAATTGGACCCTGTCACTGAGCTTTGTCATTTGAAAAAGGAGAAAGCACCCAGAGGATCACTTCTGGAAGGAGCAAACCCACACACGGAAAATGGCGCTGCTCGATACCTTGCAGCTATAATTATAGTGACTGAAATAGGCGAACATTCTGGGGACCTGTCCAGGCTGGTCATCCCACTCTCTAGCGAGAGACTTGACCCTGCTTGTTCCAAAATTTCTTTTAAATAGGTCCAGTAAGACCTGGGGAGTGGGTATTAAGATGCCCGTTGCAACTGGAACTAGCTGCATGATATCAGGCTAGTTGGGGCTTGTTTCCTGATCTATGAAATGGAAATAATTATATTTACTTAGTAGAAACCTTGGGAGGATCAGAAATGGTGTGTGCAAAATGTCTAGCACAGCATTTGGTATGTAGTTGTTAAGTAGGTAGCTAGGAAACGCTCTCCTTGGAAGAAGGACAAGGGGGGTGGGGTCCCAGGCCTCCATCATGGTGCTTCCCACCTTAATTTTGTCCCAAGTAGTTAATGTCCTACCAATTTCCCAGTCAGAACTTAGAATGCCAACAGCAAAAGGATGTAGAAGGCTCTCTAGACCAGCAAGAGGAGCAGTAGAGTCACAAAGACGTAGAACAGCCTTAAGACTAATTATCACATGATCCACACCCCACAATGGCCTCTCAAAGAGGCTCATGGGAGGTCCACGTGTGCAGTAAGACTCTGGTTCCAAGATGACCTCTGAACCACAGGTAGGCCTGACCCAGGCAGTAGGTATGATAGAGATCTGCCAGCCATAACCTTGGCCTCACACCTTTTCTTTGTGGTGACAAATAGGGACGTGTTTGCTGCCATGGTGGATGTGTCTTGCCATGTAAGCCTATACCTTGCTCTTATTCTGTAAGTTTCTCTTTGTCAATAAACTTGATTTCACACTTGCCTTCCTTTTTCAACCAAGAGCATTTCAAAACTGAGGCCCCAGGCAGCGTCCCCAAACCATGGCATTCTAGGAGACAGGCAGCTGCCTTGAAACCCGACATTTTAGATTTCCAAGAAGGAGCTGGTACCCCTCAAAGCTGTGTAAAGTTCACAAACCTTCCTCTGCTTGCTAAGACTTTACTTGCTCTTTTCTTTTTCTTTTTCATTTTTTTCTTCCATTTTTAACTTTTTAAAATTTCAAATAAGTGTGATGGCACACATTTTTAGGTTATAATGTTTATAATCACTCTTTTCAATTATTTTGACATCTACCTCAAGCCGCCGTTGTGCCCCTCTAACACAGCAATGTTCGTTCCATAGAGTGGTGGTTTCACTGTTGTTGTTATTGTTAATTTGGTCTCAGAGGCTGCATTCTCCTGGTGCATACTTTTCTCCCTAAGATAGAGATGTCCTTGGGAAGTCAGTAATTTTTCTTTTGTAACAAATGGGAAAGGTGTAGTCCCTCGTTCCAAACGGAAAAAATATTCAGGGAAAAGTAACTGCTCTATGTCTGGACAATTGAAGTAAAACTATTGATGTGCCAGGCATTTCTTAAAAAGTCACTTCCACAGAATGGCATAAGCACTTATGCTGGGGTCAGGGCTCAGTTCCGCTAGGACCACTGCTGCTGTGATTAATTGCCTAAGGGAAGGCGTCCGAACCTCCAGCACTTGTCTTTGGCACATGAGGTCCGCTGCCAGGTCTTTGGCAGAACCACAAGCTACAAACAGGACTTTCTTTGATGCTTTCAACCTCTGTTACTCTCCTGTCTTCTGATGCTCCAGCCCTGTCTTTCTGTGCTTTCAGGCTGACCTCTGACCAAGCTCCACTTGAGGGTTGAGTCCCAGACTTTATGAAAATCCTTTATGCTCCCCAATTTGGAAATGAATATTCAGAGAGAGCAGAAGAACCAGCCATCCTCCCTCCCTCCCTTTACCCTCCTTCATGAAGGGCCAGAGTGAGCCACTCTCAATCTATAGCCCCAAGTATTGCAGTAGCTGTTTTTCCTGAGTCCCCTGACCAAATTCACCCCCATTCAATCCATTTCCCAGTGCAAATTCCCCAAGCAGACACTGTTTCAGGATGGGAGGAAAACAAAGAATCTCACAGAAGGTGAACATTCCCAGAAGCCTTAATCCTCCCGAGGAAATTTCTGCATTTTTTAAAATTTGTTATTTTTAATGATATAGTTACATAATAAGTTGTACAAATATATAGGGCACATGTGATGTTTTTTTTTTTTTTTTTTTTTT